ATATTTGACTAGTATTGCAAACCAACACTGAAACAATAACCCACTGGATTTTTTTTCAAGTCTTCATATAACTTTGAATTTTTTATATTATTTTATTTTACAAAACCAGGTACACTTGTATTTTTTTAAATTAGGATCAACATTTTTTTTTTTGTTAGATTTTAGTTGAGTTTAGTTTTTGTGTTTACATGTCATTCCTGTGTAATTTGTTCAAGATTTTGTTGCAGGAAAAATGACCTAAAAAGTTACAACTTTAATAGCAATCCACAATGGTCAGTTAGTTTCTGTTTCATTTGTGAATTAGTTTATTTTTGAATCAGCATAAAATAATCAAATTGTGTTTATTGAATAATAAAAAAAAAAGAAGTTGACTTGAGGTCTACACAATAAAAAAGGTCTAAATGCAGCTCCGCAGTGCAAATAAATGAAATATTTTTTATTAATATGTGAACATATCAGTGTTACTATTTCACATATGATCTGCTGTGCTTTGTTTTTCTGAAATATACCTTTTTTGTAACTTATTGTGAATAACTGTGCATTTTTATGTGATAATGGTTCATTCTCTGTTTATTTGCTTTTAGCAGATTATAATAAAACTCTGAGACATTAAGAGTTATCTTCTAAATTTTCTATAACTGACAAGTAAAGTGTGTGTGTGGGGGGGGGGGGGGGGGGGGGGGGGGGGGGGGGTTGATTTGCCTGACAGTGTAAGATAAGTCTGATACAAAAGATTGCCTTTTGATTCTCCTCCCTCTGGACTTGCTTTTATACTCCAGCAGCAAACATCACCTCATTCATTTATCCCAACAGTTCCCATGGCAACTCAATTTGTGGTACATGTGACTATTTAACTTGATGCCACATGTGGATTTATATGTGTGACTCTTACATTATCCTGTGGGGGTGGATGATTCTATTAATCATTTGTATGTGTGACAACACCAGTGGCAGTCTCATCAATTCACACCAATTAGGAAAAACAGTCCAATTTGTCATTTGGTTGTTAGGAAAGTGTGCCTCAGTGGCATGCTAGTTGATTAAGAAACAGGGAGGGAGGAAGTGAGATGGATGATAATGAGCGAGTAGCTGCTTTTACTATCTGAGCTGCATCAGGCCTTTTCCGGACACTTGAATCCATCAACAGTGGCAGTTTTGATTGCTGATAAGTTTGAATGAAGAAACTATTGCTCTATTTTGAAGCCATAGTTCAAATCAGTGGCACCAATCCTGGTCCTCGAGGGCCATTATCCTGCACATTTTAGCTGTTCCCCTGCTCTTCAGCATGTCTTCAAATTCAACAGATGTCTGTTAATCACTTGTTCATTCAAATCAGTTCAATTCGAGTCAGTTTGTTCATATAGCACCAAGTCACAACAGAAGTTGTCTCAGGGCACTGAACAGAAACATTCACATACATAAATCAGAGTCAGAGTCAGAGATTCTTTATTGTCATTTGCACCTCATGTGGTACATGTGGTGGAGCGAAATTATGTACACAGGGTCCCAGTTACATCCAACAATAAAATGTATAAGAAAAATAAATATATATAAATAAATATCCCATTAGTAAAGTTCTCTATCTAAGGAATCCAGCAGACAAGTTGAATCTTGGCTTCGTTGCAGTCTCCCATCCTGAGCAAGCACAGTGGAGACAGTGGAAAGAAAAACTCCCTTTAAGAGGAAGAAACCTCCAGCAGAACCAGCTCAGGACGAGAGACCATCTGCTTTGACCGGCTGGTTGAGAGGACAGGAAGGAGAAAGGAACACAGAATGGTAGGTCCAGGTATACTTTCTCTTGGAAGAAAAACAAAAAAACACCTTAAGATAGAAATAATTACAAATAAAACAGGAAGAGCAAGTAAAGTCAGCAGCAGAGTGAAGAAATGTGGTCAGTTTGTCCTCAGCAGTCTATAGCAGCATAACTAAGGGACAGCTCAGGAAACCCAAGCTGACCCTAACTATAGGATTTATCAAAAAGGAAAGTCTTAAGCCTAGTTTTAAAACTGGACAATGTGTCAGCCTCACGGACAGAGATTGGAAGTTGGTTCCACAAGAGAGGAGCCTGAGAACTGAAGGATCTTCCTCCCATTCTGTTTTTGTAAATTCTAGGAACCACAAGTAAACCTGCAGTCTGAGAGTGAAGTGCTCTGTTAGGAAAATATGGAACAATAAGATCTGTAATATAAGATGGAGCCAGGTTGTTGAGAGCTTTGTAGGTTAGAAGTAAGATTTTGAATTCTATTCTGGACTTGACAGGGAGCCAATGGAGAGAAGCTAAAACTGGAGAGATATGAATATCAATCCTGAGTAATTATGAGTAAACACAAAATAAGCTGCTGTGTTTTTGTTTCAGAACAGCTCAGTCAGATCACCCGTGTACTTAGATTCAATATTAACTGAGTAAAACAAAGTAAATAATAATCATGAAACACACATTTAAAAGCATTTTTTTTAATCTATTCAACAAAAAGTTTGTTTATGTTTGTACCTGAGAGTATGACATCATCATGTCACCCCCTCCCCCCACCAAATTCAGTGTCCTTTCTTGGTATTAAGAAACGGACTAGAATTGTATTGATTTTTCCCCATTGCTTGCAATGATAAATCAAAGTATTGGAGCTTTGTTGATGATGACTGCTGCTCACATGCATGCTTGGTTCAGATACTCTGAGTTAATTAACATCATTGTAATCAGTTTGTCTTAAACCAAAGCTGTGTATTTCCCTGCTCTGGGTAAATTAACTCAGACTTTATGAACAAACTCAGTGTTTGTGGATGACCTCACGTTCCAGATTCCAGCTCTTCATTCATCTGTCATCCTTTACTAATCTGCATACAGATCGTTACTTTCAATCTCCCCCTCTTAGATTATAGATTATAGACTTCATTTTATTTAGTTTTTTAGGTTTTATCAAATATGCCAGTTAATACTTTGGTGCTTTTGCCATGTCTTGTTTTGATGACTTGAATCGCTGCCAGTTTTGTTATTAAAAGCCAAGTTTTAATCCTCAGCCATCTGCCTTCTGTTTGCCAGCACTGGGTCTAGACAAGGACTCTATGGAGCCTCCTAACATCCATCTATCCATTATGTTTACCTGCTTCTTCCTTTTAGGATCACAAGAGTCACTGGTGCCCATATTCAGCAGTCACTGGGCGAGAGGCGCGGGACACCCTGGACAGGGCGCAAGTCCATCACAGGGCAGCCTCCCAACTGAGAAAATAAAACTGGGTTTCAAAAATACATTTCAATAGTTTGTTTAAATGTTTTAAATGAACAAACACATACAGTACTTTTAATCAAGATTTGGACCAAAGAACGTGTCAAACCTCAGTACAATTTGACTGCATGTTTAAATCAAATGATTAAGACATTGCTTTAATCAAAGATTTTGCAGACATCCCTGCTATGATTTACAATGAATACCTGTCACCTGAAACTATATTACTGTTCTTAATTTTATCTCATTTTGTCCCTGAATTGTCCATCCATCCACCCATCAATCCATCCATTATCTTCCGCTTGTTCTGATGTACGAGCAGGGAAGTCCAGATATCTCTTTCCAAAGCCAACTCTTCCAGCTCTTCTCGGAGGACACC